GATTTATTTTCTCCCCGGGTCTTGGACAATCTCCAAAACTTATTTCATTTGCCTTCTTCACAAGAACCTGACACAACGTTAAAACGTCTGAACAAGGGCATAGAAAAGTCTCGTCTCTCTAAAACAAAAACAAAAGGTTAAGTTGGGCATGAGACTGACGTAGTTGCCTTGTAGAGTTCATAGCACCTGGTTGCGTAAGCACACACAGTTGTGTACAAAGCTCATTTTGGCTGTGTAAGAACTCAGGTCTCCTTGAAAGTTAAGAAGCCAAATAGTATCAAGAAGACACATTTTCATTTCTCGAAATGAAGTAACTGTAAAAATTGATGTACTTATATAAGGGAAGTATAAAAACATTACAATTCCCTGCGATATGATTGTTTATCAATCCAAGCGCATGACACTCCCATGGCAACTGCTTTTCATCATTGTTGACGTAGGTTCCCTGCAGTGTTACGGACGAGGGCCGCTGAGACGTGATTGACATTCAAAGTCCGAACAGATATTCCGGAAGAGTTATTCCGTAGCCTGTGGAGATCCCCTTTGTCATTTCTTCTGAGGCTCTAGGTCCATTATAAACCACGATTACTGTTCTCCTTGAAACAATGTTTGTTGATGCATAAACGGAGTAAACAAGGTTCCGCAGAAGCAAAGAGCGCTAACCTGTGGCAGAACTGCGATATACCAATCGCAGTGACATGATGCTAAACGTTGGGCGTTTTTTCAGTCTGCGTCAAATAAATGAAGCTTTATACCTGTCGAAAAGCTGAGAACACCATTTCACTTTTAGTTATCTTAAGAAATCTAGGCATTTGCTGCCAGCCTGCTTAGCTGTCAGAATGATTTGCAACTATAGACATTATTAATATAATTTCGCGTAAGGAGATATGGGGGGGGGGGTTACAAGGAAAACCTTCACCGAAATGCTTTGGTGACATCACGCGTCAGCAAATTTCGACAGAACTTTCAGAAATCGGCATCATAATAATGACAGAGATCTGGGGAAGAATTGCATTGTTGAGCATCGTTCGCATTGCACTTAATTTTGTAAAAAGTAACCGAGTGTGATTGTTACCATTCCATTGTGGTTATTCTACCCAGCATCTGGGTTTTTGGATTGATTTCGGCCCGTGGAAACTCATTCGTTATACGTAAAACTAACAATTATTGAAATTCTTCCGCGATGTCTTGTATGCCCTGTGAAACTTGGGGCTGCGAAGCTTGAAACTTACAATCGACAGTCTTCACTTGACCATTTGGGAAGTATTTAGCGTCCGCCCGCTCTGGCCTAATTTGGGTAAGTTGACAAAAGTCTCCATTTGTTTTACCCCAAAAATTCCATTGCAAACCCGGCTTTCGTTTTATTTGATACGTTTATTACATTATGTGCACCAAAAAGTCTTTACAATGAAAAAATAGACTGAAGCTTTTTTTAGGCAGTGACAATCAGGTCATACGTATAACTTGATAAAATATTTAATTCATGCAAAGTTTTCTTTGATAAGGAAAATATATGAACTGTAAGTCAAAAATCTCACCTGTGTTAAGATGCTTACAAATTGCCTATTGGTTCCTTTCTACAGTTTCCTGTCGCTATTAATACTTTTACACACACAAAAGTTTAGGTAAAACAGTGTTGGGATATGTCTTAGTATGACGTTAACTAATCGTTTACTTATTCTGGTAAAAAGTGATTTTCCCAAGAGTGTCGGCAGTTGATTTGTTGACCAACATTGGGCACAATTACCAACCCGTTTACCCAACTTTTACCATGTACACGAGCCACAGGTTTCTTAAACTAACGTCAGTTACCTGACTATTATACTTCCTTCAAAATTCAAAATAACTCAGACTCGGCTTCTCTTTAAAGGAATAATCTTCCCATCTACTGAGTAATTTTGGCACAGGGCGATTATATTCTACGATGACACTCTTCAGAGGGCAAGTCTTTAGTTTCGTACTTCACCAAACTTTGACCTCAAACTGACCCACGTAAACTTTTTGAATCTCAATTATTACACATTAAATCTTTACCCACAACCTCACGATGAGTTGGGTGTGATAAATACACAGGAATTAATGTTACAGTGTTCCAAAAAATTACAGTTATTTACTTTACCGTGGAATTGCTCTTTACTATAAAACACTGATCAACAACTCAGTTAAATGCCAATAGTCAATAATTAACTGATGACTACACTTACAATAACACTTTTGTCATAAAACTAGATTTTGCAATTCATATACAATACGATGCACAAAATCTACTGCACCAACCACTTGGTGTAATTTTCTAAGGCATGCTGCTTATGTGTGGACCATAAGGTATACGTTCAATGACAAACTGCACACTCATAAATACCTCATACAGTATTGGTTGGGAGCCCGTCACGTGGTCGGTTTAAAATGGTTGGCTTGACTTGGCTGGCTGGTCTTAAACACTTTTCCAGTGTCACATGAAATATTGACTCCTTTGAAATCTGGTACCAGGACTGTTTAAGACCGGTTGCAGTCTGGATGCTGAAACTTACACTCGCCTTCGGCTCGGGTATAATTATCAGCATCCAGACTTCAACCGGTCTTAAACAGAGTGTTTAGCACCTCCCATGCACACATTTATTCCCTTATTATAACACTGTTAAAAATGTGCACTTATATTGACGAATCGTAAGTTTAATCTAATATAGGTTTTCCCCGTTGGTTCATTTTCATTCTAACGCTTTCAAATGCACGCAGATTACCGAGTTCAGATCAAACTTGAGGGTTTTAATTTGATATTCACGATACAAATTGGAGGCAGTCCTTAGCTGCCTGGAGTGTCTGCTATTTGTGGCTAGTCGGGCGCTGTTCTCTATATACGCGTTAATCAGCTTCTATACCTAACTACATTGGCCACACATCGGTAGTCTCAACAGTGCTTTGACAGAGACTTGTTTATCATAAGAACCGCGCAGCATGAAATCTCCACGAAAAATACAATTACATAATGAATATGAGTCTGAGAGCACATACCACAGTAACGAATTTGAATTCACAACTGGAGAATGTTTCCAATAAAACTGAATTCTTTATCAACCAGCCTCTGACTACTGACTTCGACGAAATGGAATGAACTAAACGAACATTGGAATTCGATTGAACGTTTTCGTCTAGAGAATGCCAAGCAATGACATTGGGTGACTCCTTTTTGACGACTAATGTTGATGTAGGCCTCAGGAATTAAGCAGCCAGTTTCAATAAAAATTTAAATGAGACAGATATTAAAATTACACGAATTTTAGTCGAAATTGGCCAGGAAAAATCTGGAGTTTAACAGCGTGGTTCACTCAGGACAAATGAATATCTACATTCAATGAAAAAAAATTGACAACAGTTATTATTATAATAATAGGCATGGTCATTAACTTGAAATGAACATCAACAGTTCCTTTTCGTCCCCGAAAGAAAATGGTTGTCGGTGCCAATATGCAATACACTCATTCTGTTGTGTTTCCTAAACCTACAGATTTGGAAATGTGTTGGTAAAAAAAAAACTCATGACAATGAACATGTTTTTAGCTCATAAGGCCATTAGAAATATTTAACTCAAATTTGGATAAGCATATATACCACACGGTTTATAACGTTACAAATCATGGTTTACTTATTTTATGCTCTATTTTCTTCACAAAGAAAAAAACTTCCACATAACCACTGCATAAAAGGCACAAGCATAATTACCATTACGATTTAAATACACAAGTGACACCCATTCATACTCAAATATCCAAGTATATGAAACAAAGATACCATTATTTTAGGGGGAAACATACAATGTGGCTGGGATATACTTCACGTATTTTTGTAAACATACACAGGATCAACATAGGATATACTTTGTGTGTACACGTAATATACAAGATCAAAATATGTTCCATATAATCTGTTGCCTCTTACTTTTCCTGAACCCTTTTCAGATATTTCGAGTGAATAAATAATGATTTTGAAGGCCGCACTTTGATCATGCGGACAATAAGACCCTTACGCACGATTCGAGGCTTCTAAAAGATAATTACCTAGCTATCCCATTGTCAATATATAAATCAAGAAATATTCGCCAGACATTTATAAACCAGTACGAATTGACGACCCTGACGTTTTAGTTAACAGGCAAATTTTGATGGCAATGTGTTTATTGGAACTCAAGCTATGTCCCTCAATAAAATCAATCGAAATCAACCTTGGGGGAATATGTTAATTAATTAAAAAACAGAAGGGATGTGCAATTTATAAAAAAAGGCATGTATTTCCGACATCTAAGCGAAATCCTACCTTTGAATGAACGGGCAAGGATTCTTGCAAGTTTTCAACCTAAAAATGTAAAATGTCAAAGGTCCAAACTACTGGTGAAGGTTATGACCAAATTTATTATGATAAAAGCATTTCAAGAATGTCACTGTCCATAGTAGGAAAAAAATTAGGGGTAAACCTTCGTGTAAATAGCCGTAAAACTATTCAAAGTAACCTTTATAACAGAAATATAAACACTTACAAAAGTCCCCCAAATGCTTAAAATCGGATCTTGACAGCAACATAATTTGTCTGACTATAAAATGATATTAATTCGGTTAAATTAATATCGATTGGATTGCACTAATTGTTATAACTGAGTCTGTGATTCCGTTATTACTAGTAACAAGTTGCTACGTGAGTTTCATGGGTGTTTGTGGAAGCTGCCATGCTCTCTTGCCCGTATTGGAATGTGACCAACTTAGGATTAGCCTGTATTGGATTAGCATTGATCCAACTTGGGCTTCTGTAATTGTGCCATATGATTTCTGGAGTGTAGAATCGCCATTTTAAGAGCTTAAAAATGATATTTTCCTATCGACAAAAATGGTTCAATATGATTTTGTGTGCGTTCATCATAAAGGATTTTGAGTAAAAATTTTGAGGAAAAAGTATGTTGTTAATTTAACTCAAATGTTAGGGTTGGTTACTTTTCATGTCAATTCTTATTGGACTGTAAGTCTCTTACCTCAAGAAATGGCCTGAAAAGATGCTAAAACAATAAATATAGGCTTAGTGGCGTCGGTCGGCTCTAAGGGAATAGAAGAGAAACTGTCATGTCTTCCTCCGGCGAGATCCATGTTCGATTCACATGAAGGCCGTTACTGGCATTTGGCTTTCAGTTCCTGTCTGGGTCTGATGGATTCCCGGACTATCATTGTCGGGTTTTGCTTCCCACATAAATTATTTCGTCATCATCTTCCCCGAGAGTTTCTTCAGGTTTACGTCAACCACACAATTCTACAGAAATTTGCGGAAACCATGCTTTCATAGCAAGAAAAAAACCCAAAATAGTACAAATTGGGAATTAATGTTATCTATGGGGAACACATTTTTAAGCAATCAATATAATTTTCTTAAAGTGGGCGTATTTTCCTCAACAGGCGAGTGTTCCAAAAGCAGATGATTTTGATAATACCCCGCCTGATTCGGGGACTAGTGGCGGCATAGATGAACGGGTTGATCGCCGAGTTGACCCATACAGTGTAGTAGACACCATTCCACAGCAACCAGCTAAACTTGATCTTGTCGACGACAAACAGCAACTGCAAGACGTAGTAGGGGGTCCAGCAGATGGAAAACATGCCCACGATAAGGGCAAGCGTTATAGCAGCCTTCCGGTGTTTTTTGTAGGTCCGTTTGGTGTTCCACGCCACCGGCTCCGCATTCACTTTTGAATCAGCGTTGGGGCCGTGCTGCAGGGCTGGGTCGTTCCCACCTTCCGTAGTGGCACTGGGTTGAGCTGGAGCTACCGCCACGCGAACCAAACCCTTAGATCGCTGCAGGATGTTGGAATACACCTTGACATTGAGATAAGTCAGGATAACTGCAGGCACAGCGAAACCAATGGCTATCTGGGCGATGTTGTAGGGCAGGATGTACAGCGTACCGAAGTCGCAGGTTACCGAGTAGCTGACAACACCGTAGGCTTTCGCATTAGGCCATAACTCATTGCCCAGGATGGGAATGGCGTAGAATACCAGCGCGACGGTCCAGGTGAATGTTATGAGGCCCCCTGCCATAACCCTGCTCTGGTACTTTCGATACTGGAGATACTTGGTTACTAACAAGTAACGATCAAGACTGATGAGTGTCACTGCGAAGGCGGCCTGCATGCACGCCGAATAATCCACGACAGTCCAGAAGGTGCACACGGCTCGCTGAAAGGGCCAGTTGCCGGTATATCGCCAAATATTGTTCATTGTCAGAGAATTGATACCAACACACAAGTCTGCGCTGGCAAGGTTCAGAATGTACATATTGGCTACATTGGACCTCAGCTGCTTATCTCTGAGAATCACTACGAAGATCAGAATGTTACCAAACACCGCCAGAAAGCACATGAGCCATACAATGGTAGATATGACAATCTCGATGGGTAAAGGGTGCGAGAATGCGCCAAGGAGGCTGTAATCTGACGACGCGAAACTGTTCTCTACGACACTTACATCGGTGGTAGCCATCATGCAAACAGATAACGAAGAATTTGTTTGAAGTTAATATACCGTGCCGCGACAGTTGGCAGATGTGGAGAGTGTGCGGCAATTCAAACGCAAACTCTGCAGTGCCCAAAGCTCGCCAAACGACACACATGTGTATGCGTGCCTGGTTTTCAACGTATGATGACGTCGGTATCACTGCTGCCGAGTGGTGTGGTATTTCAGATGTCATTGCAACGAGACTCGTATAAGTCTTCAAATATCTCGACTCAAAAGTCGGTATGTATTTCGTCTAACGGTCGTTGTGTATATATGGATTAATATTGCAGATCCTTCCGAACCAGGATCAACCTGATGTTCCCCAATACCTATGTTCCCCAATATCCTTAGGGTCGGGGTTGGGGAACATATAGGTATTGGGGAACATGCAGCCTCGGAACCGATGGGGCGGCGCTCTACCCGTTGTGATACGGTTGGTCGAAACAAATCAGTTCGGCTCTCAAAGAATGTTTCCCAAGAAATCATAATATTTGGAAAAATAGTTCAAAGGATTATACACAACACAACATTATACCTCAACATTTTGCTGGTTTTGTGTGTAATTAATACCATGCGAATGAATATCGGTGTACACATTGTTGGTACTCATAAATCAAACCGTTGGATCGCTAGTCTTGATTACAGCCATACGTTTCTTTTCGTAACCGTTGCTTCAAACACATGTTCTTTTGTCGAGGTACCCAATATTCCACATTTAATTGTCACTGTAATAGTAATAATATCTTTATTCGCACAAATTCATGACACAAAAGTACAGAAAATTTAATAAACACAACCAAAAATATACAAAGAAGACCAAAGAAAATTACAGAGGAAAAAAAAGAGTAAATTGACACAGATATCGTTAATTATTTCAAAGACATTTTGCCTTAAAAAATTCCACATTCAACGACGCCGTCTCTAAAATCAATCATATCCCTAAGTACAGACGCAATTGATTTAAAGGTATACGCTACATGTATATTACATACCGTATTTTACGGGAATCCTACGGTTCAATGCATTACTGCAGATGTTACAAAAAAATTGAACAAGGATTCCGTAATGCCTCATTGGCTACAGACTTTAACAGAGAGGATCCACATTTAAAAATGCATTTCGATAATTACAAAACCTACTGATACCTAGAGGAGGACTATAAGAGATCAAGGCCACAATGTCACAATGTTTCATAGGTTGCAGGCGCCAGATTTTCTCATAGCCTTTAAACCGTACTTGGTATTAAAAAAGCGCATGCAGCGCGAATCTGAATTTACTGCTCTGCACTTTGGACCCAATAGAGTAACCCTACTGCGCGCAGTGTGTTCAGGGCGTAACAAATTTTAACTAGAGATCTATGTCTGTTTGCAACAGAACATAGGGCTTTTTCGCATTATGCAATTTTTTTTATCAATAATACGTCATATACTATGCATGTACAACGTTTCAAATTATACGGTACAAGAATTTTTAAAATTTAGCATGTAGCGTCTGTGAGATATATTATCATCAAAAAAAAATAAATCCATATTAAATCAGACGTACCTTTAAAAAATGCACCTTTATGATGACGTCACATGCCTTACGATGACGTCATCTTGATAACACTTGTCAATGCACATTTTTGCATTGTGGTCTTGGTTTGTACCAAGCTTGAAGTCAATGCAACGAAAGGAAGTGTTTAATTTTGAAAGGGGAATGAATTTGTAAATATTTTTTTTAAAATCATTAAAAATCATGCGATGACGTCATGGTGACGTCATTCCGGATTTTGCATACTAGTACTATTATCTAGCTATCTACCAAGTTTCATGACGATCGGACTTTCCCTTATATGTGTTTTAAAAAAAAATATCGCATTTTTGATGACGTTATGATGACGTCACACATTTTACAATATTTTGTACATATACCTGTTACCTAACAAACATAATACAAAAAGAATTTTGAATTTTGCATCTTGCGTTCGTGAGATATGGCTTAAAGGTCCAAAAATTCAAAAAATCATATAAAATCGGACGATGACGTCATCATGACATCACCTCAATGTTTACCTATAACACATCCCGGTCTACCTACATACCAAGTTTCAAGCCAATAGGACTTACAGTTCTTTAGATATAGGACTTCAAAATATGCACGTTTGTGATGACGTCACGTGACCCATGGTCACGTCATGATGACGTCACCCTTCGGCATACAACTCAGCCATAGGAACTATGCCTGTATTAACTTTGAATGATGTATGACAAAGATTAATGCCAAAAGTGGCATTGAGAAAAATACGTATACAAAGTCTATGGGATTTAGGCGACAGAAAGAAGAAGAAGAAGATCTTGGGAAAGAACAAAAAGAAAGGTTTTTTCGCAAATTTGCGAAAAAGCCAATAAATCCAAATCACCTCATGAACCATCAAGAGTGACAGGTTGTAAGCCAGGGATGACAACATAACGTCCACGGTCTCCTTCATTACGAATTGATCGGCGGAAAGTAATCACATCATGAACAAACAACGCACTCTTTCTTGTCATACTTCAAGGAAAAGTTAATAGGCCTATCGGTACGAGACAATTACTCCCCGATATGACATGTTATTTGTACAAGTCAAGATCTGTTATTTCTATAGGTGGCTTGTCGGACATAACTGTCAGACTGTGTGCATTGTTGCAAAGTCTTCCTCTATTTCATACAGTACAGGTTTATCTGCAATGGTTTGGCCGTCATCTTGGCATACGAACTTAATTCAACATTAGGTCTATTCTGAAAATAAAGGAGAAATTAATTAAGGTACCACAGACTGAAAAGACAAATATAAAGACTTGGTGGCTCTTTGGGAAAAACTGGAAGTAGAAAATCGGCTGAAAGTTTTGTTTACAAATTTCGTTTCTAAGATTATAAAGAATTTCCAAGTTAGTGAGTACCGCATTTGGTAAGATAGCAACTCCCCAGTCCTGAACCCCCAATACAACATGCACAGAATACAGACTTTTCTATTAGACCGCTCCGAAATTGCAAACAAACACAAACAAATGATAGCGGAAAATGTAATCGAAGAAAACGTGGCAAACACACGAAAGGGCAAGTGCGCTCCGTCTCCAAGGACATCAGATAAGAATTAGCGATCCGAGTTCCCCGAGAAGCGTGTACGGTCCTTCGCCAAGTGCCGCCCATGGGACACTGACTGTTACTGTGAACGACTGAAGGTCGCGGTGGAAATACCGTAGAAAAAGGCGTCAGATCCGTTCATCGTGTCCTCAGGGATATCGGAGGCCGGCAGCAGCTTGAACGCGATTCAATGATTAGTGCTTCATTTCAACTCCGTCAAGGTTCAGTAGCTACACCAAGCCTGTTATCTACTTAGTTCCCCCAACGGTTTTGGAGATCCTTCCACCCTGACAAAATCCTTTGTCAGAGAACAAAGACAAGCCTCTCTTGTGAAAAGCTTTGTAGCTTGTACTCTGCCAGCTCCAAAGTCTAACAAAGGGTACAAGGAAACTTTCAGGAAGCATATTGACGAAATAAGCACCGATCTGATAAGAACCCCCTTAATATGTCCCACTATGGGGCTCTCAGAGTACAAGCTATAACGCTTTTCAACAGAGAGGTTTAATTGTCTTTGTTCTCTGACAACGTTTCTTGTCCCGATGTCAATTAATTAATTAAGACATACCAAACATATTGTCAGCAAGAGAAGTTTCTTTTGCGTCTGCACAGAATGGACAAAATCTGACCCAATTAAGTTTCACGTACTCAAAACGAAAACAAACGATCTAATATAACTTGCAACCACCCTAAAATTGATATCGGAGGGTGTGACGATTCGCACACAACTTAATTGTAGGGAATAGATGTGCTGGTCCAACCCAAGCAAGTGTTACAAATTTCAAATTTCCACCGAGAGAAATTTCCGCTTTTAATATTGCACTTTTTAATCGCATCACATCGCCGCTCGTTAAACTTACAATGATCACGCACAAACAACGGTGACAATGGATTAACCTTACATGAATACACTCAACTAAAATATACGTGAGTGCCCCATGATATCACCCCTCACTTGTACGCAGTTTATTTGGACATCACCTGGGTAACGATTGTTATCGAATCCAGCTCTACGATTCAACAAGACGTACATAATGCCCTCTGAATTCACTGGAGTGGGTATGAAACGCGACGATATATGCTTCCATTTGCAAATTGATCACTCCATTCGGAAAATTCATTATTTCACTCGGTAAACTCGTAATTTCTTTTCACGGCAAATCCATCATTCAATGTTGAAATTCCGTTGACTTTTTTTGCTTCAGGTAGAGTTTTCCCGAGTCTGATTTCAATCGGAAACTACACGAGGTTTGCTGGTACAACAGGTACATGTAATAATTTACAGTACCCAACGGAATTATATAATCATCATTTGGTGCTGCAATAAATTTAAAGCTTGCTTGTTTGTTTGAAACTCAGTTGTGCAAATTGGGGAAAATTGCATGGATAAACCATTTAAGAGAATATAAAACACAGGATGACAGACAACAGATGGACAATAAGTACAACAGAATGGCAACCTTGAACGGAACAAAATCTATAGGCAGACCACACAAAAGATGGAGAGATGACTATCAAAGTTGGATGGAGGACAAGGACAAGGACAGCAAAGGAAAGAACAACCTGCAGAGGTCGGACAGAGGTCTACATCCTGCAGTGGATGGACGACGCCTAGGTAAAGGTTAAGGTAAAGAATAGAAATGGTAAGCCTTTACACAGATGATGAATTATAAAACTTAATTGCCATTGGACAAGGAGGACTCACAGGGGAAGGATTGAGAACTGGGCACAATATTTTCTGGCTCTGATGATTATTCATTAACCAGTCTGATTGGCAGCCTTTCCTGTGTAGCAATTATATCAACTCAACGTCAATCAAAAAAAATTGGAATGTTATGAAAATGTAATGGTTATATTAAAGCAACATGCATAGGAATATAATCTTGGATATTAGCGTC